GTTGTATATGTACACAATGTATGTGTTAGGTGTCTGGTTCTATACTAGGAACTGGTACTGAATTGAGGGGAGAATATCCAGGTATTGTAGCTAGGTAGAATTGGCATCATCAGAGAATTAACATTCTAATCACATAAATGCCATTGGTTTTTGAATAATACAAGGAGTCTAAAAACAAGATGAATATTGCAAGAGTCCACAACATTGGAATAATCTTGACCTGTACACTTAAAAATCCAATAATCTACAGAAATCCACCAATAATCAAGATAATCTAAGTAATAATCCACAAATGATCCAAAAATCCAAGCGATTATCCAAGAAAATCCAAGTGCAGTATTTGAAAGTCTGCTGACTATGGTTGATTAACTATAATGAATTGTTAATTAAAATAAATAATGGTTAGTTAATATTATTACATGGAATCAGCAAAATCTGGATCCTGTACACTTTTGGAGGCTGTGTTGCAGACCCCTCGCAATATTTGTCATTTCTCAGTTTTTAAAGGAATAATTTTAGTTAAGTAAATTTTATAATTTTTATGAAGCAACACAATAAGGTAATTCAATAACTCATGAACACAACATAATTCAATTTTAGTACTTTGTTGAATAATTTTAACAGCATTTAAATCTAAAGTCTTTTTTTTCTACTTGTTTCTTAGAACTATACCCAGCAGATCTGATATGAAACCATTGTTTGCATTTCTCACACTGAATCCACGTAGTGCTTTTCATGACACGTTTCATAATGCACCTATCAATTGGACATTCCTTCAAACTTTGACGGATGGTAATCCTCTGCCTTGTTCCTATAGATTTCCAATTTGTTGTTTCTGCCTTTTTTCGCAGTGCTCTGATTGGTTTAATTAATGCTGCATGACATCTTGGATCCAATGATACCAATGGCTTTCCTGTTGAAGAATATAATGTATATGTATATAATATCTCAACATATAATAAAAAGGTATTGTTATCTGGATATTTTGTTGGGTGTACGTTTATTGATTCAAGAGACATAAAATTTCTGTGGGTCAGATTTTTGTATAGGCATTTATAATTTTTTCTGATATTGTAGCCTTAGCAGAATTTGAATACCCCTATAAAGCATTAAGTAGTTTATCCTGTGTTAAAATAATTATTATTATGTTTGACAAATATAGCTGGTTATTTTAGATAGAAAATTTTTGATGAATTTGATTCTTGTAAGGATTTGCTAAAATTAAGTCCTCCATTTTGAACCATTTACATGCATGCTCAGTGGCCACAAATTTACCAAATCAAAACCCATCAATCACCTAAAATTTAGCAATTTTCCAAAATTTTATTTCTCAAAAATTACCAGCCCTATGAAATAGCCCACAGTTATTTTCAGAAATTAACACATCTTCTAAAGGCCATGAGTATGACACAAAATCATGCATTAACTAACCTGATGATATTGCTTCATCATTTGAAACTGCAGCAGTCACATCTTCAGTCTCATCTTCAGTGCCTAATAATAATAATTATCAAATATTTCAATGTTAGTAGTTTCACTTACTACTATCTGTACCACTGTTTCAGACTTGGGTCAAATACAAATAATATTTGTAATTAGTCGTATTTAAATACTTTTGAAAGTATTTGTATTTGTATTTGTAATTTGAGTTTTTGCAACAGGAAGTATTTGTATTTTGCAATTGAAATACAGCAGGGAAGTATTTCAAAATACAGCAAAATACTTTAAAATACTTCAATGTGGATGAAGATGCTGTTTGAGTGACAAAACTTTGAAACACTAACGTTCACTAAATGCAATACATGACTATAACTAAATATTATTGATTATACATGCATGCATAATGAAAAGAGACTTTCAATTTACTTGATTGATTAATTCATAAAGCCATGTAGTTAATAACGGTCTATACTTGAGAAAAAAGTATTTGTATTTGTAATTGAAATACATGTATGCAGTATTTGTAACTGACTCTAAGATAGAACCTGAAAACTACAAAACCGAAAACCCAAACACATACATTGTGTACATATGCAACAGAATCTAAGATAGAACCTGAAAACTACAAAACCAAAAACCCAAACACGTACATTGTGTACATATGCAACTGACTCTAAGATAGAACCTGAAAACTACAAAACCAAAAACCCAAACACGTACATTGTGTACATATGCAACAGACTAACCTGAAAACTACAAAACCAAAAACCCAAACACGTACATTGTGTACATATGCAACAGACTCTAAGATAGAACCTGAAAACTACAAAACCAAAAACCCAAACACGTACATTGTGTACATATGCAACAGACTCTAAGATAGAACCTGAAAACTACAAAACCAAAAACCCAAACACGTACATTGTGTACATATGCAACAGACTATAAAATAGAACCTGGAAACTACAAA